TGTTTATTTATATATATATATATATATATATATATATATATATATATATATATATATATATATATGTATATACAGAGTGTCCCATTTTAATCGATCACCTCAAATATCTCTTGAACAGTGCATTTTAGAGAAAAATGTTTTAGATGAAAGTTTTAGGATTTCGAGGGGGACATAAGATGATATCATTGGTTTGATCTCGAGTGGCGTCAGGACAAGGACATTTTGATTTTTTTAAATGGAACCCCCCATTTTTCATTACATATTATTATAGTATATCTCAAGAGCTTTCCAAAACACTATAATAAAATATTTTTTCATTAAATATCTTTCGAGTTAAAAGGCTTCAAAGTTACAATATTGTTGCCATTAACATTAGTACCCATGGTGTTCGACCGACGGCTAAAACCTTTTGAATGTTGTTCAGAGTCATGACCTTGACAACATTTGTCAAGGTCATAGCGATTGGAGGCTGTTCCTAATATTTTAATTTCTTCAAATTTTACAGTGAAAACGAAAATAATAATTTAAAATTATGGGATAGCATGTGGAGTCTGATTAACTCTAAAGGATCATATGAAAATTACAATGTTATGATTATTAAAGAAATTTATTAATTTATTAAAGAAATTTATTAATGGGATTTCATACGTGTGCTTCTTTGTGGCCCCAACGAAGCATTGTGACCTTCATATGATTCTTTAGATTCAATCGGACTGCACATGTTACCCCATGATTATAAATTATTATTTTCGTTTTTACTGTAAAATTTGTAGAAATGAAAATATTAGAAACAGCCTCTAATCGCCTTGACCTTGACAAATGTTGTCAAGGTCATGGCCCCGAACAACATTCAAAAGGTTTTTTAGCCGTCGGTCGAACACCTTGGGTACCAATGTTAATGGCAACAATATTGTAACTTTGAAGACTTTTAACTCAAAAGACACTTAATGAGAAAATATTTTATTATAGTGTTTTGGAAAGCTCTCGAGGTATGTTACAAGAATATGTAATGAAAAATGGGGGGTTTCATTTAAAAAACTCAAAGTGACCTTGTCCTGACATTGACGACGGCACTCGAGGTCAAACCAATGATATCATCTTATGTCCCCCTCGAAATCCCAAAACTTTCATCTAAAACATTTTTCTCTAAAATGCACTGTTCAAGAGATATTTGAGGTGATCGATTAAAATGCGACATTTTGTATACATATATGTATGTACATACATACATATTTATGTATGCTTAATCATGCATATAATTATGCATACAATCATAGATACAGTTATGCATTGTATACATAAATCGGACAACATTAAATGATTCAGTCAATGAAGGCAAGATCGGTTATCAATTAAAATCAGATCAGACGTTAATATAACTAATGAGAAGGCGAGATCCTTCATTCTTCTGAAAGAAACAATAAATTCTTTACTTCTAGACCTATCATTAATTAAAAAAAAAATTTTTTTTTATTTGGCTTGAGCAAAATATGTGTGCAAATATAAGGTGTAGTAAAAAGAAATCCATTATTTTTGCATGAAATTGGAGGCTTTATTTAGCATAGTTAGAATGATCCGATTTAAGTCAAATATGCACCGTTTTGTTCGATAACTTGTTGCATTTTGAAGGTAATTCCATTATGCCTCTCTCATAGAAACCCTTGTCCCTATTGACAAAAAACTGAGCCAGTCGATTTTCACAAGCTTTTTTTTGAGGCGAATTTTTTACCAGCAAAATCATTCGCCATAGACAGGAACAGGTGGTAATCACTTGGTGCCAGGTCCGGACTATAAGGTGGATGTATAAGAACCTCCCAACCAAGCTCCCGGAGCTTTTGACGAGTCACTATCGATGTGTGTGGCCTGGCGTTGTCCTGATGGAACACAATTCCTCTCCTATTGGCCAAAGCTGGCCGCTTCTGGGCGATTGATTCCTTCAGACGGTCCAATTGTTGACAGTACAGGCCCGAATTAAAAGTTTAGCCGTAGGGGAGCAGCTCAGTGGATGATTCCCTGCCAATCCCACTAAACACACAGATAAGCCTTCCTGACCGTCAATCCTAGCTTGGCCACCGTTTGCGTCGGC